GACCCAGTCGGCGCCAGCGCCGACGCCGGCGGCAAAACGCACGACGCTCCCCTCATGGAGATGTTGCGGCTTTGGCACCTCGTGATATAAGGCTGATTTTTTGCTGACCGGGGCGGAGGCACGCGGGCGGCGGAGGCGGCGGCGGACGACGTCTACTTCCCCTGTGGTAGCTTGGCGATCAGGGAGGATCTAACTGTTAGGATTTGAGGAAGCTGTTGGGGGAGAGGGGGGTAGAGAGGAGAGGAGGAGAGGGGAAGAGGATGAGAAGAGGAGAGGAGAGGAGAGGATAGAGGAGGAGAGAGGAGAGAGGAGGATGGGGAGAGGAGAGAAGAGAGGGGGGGGTGAGAGGGAGGGAGGGAGGGAGGGAGAGAGGGAGGAGAGAGAGAGAGGAGAGCCTTTGAGCCTTGGCACCAGCCAGGCAGTTGATTTGGCCCTGGCACCAGCCTTGGCAGTTGAGTTGGCCTTGGCACCAGCCTTGGCGGGCGGGCACGCGGGACATGCACAGGCGCCAAGGGGCGCGGCGCCGACAATCACGGCGGTGATTGCGGCGCAGGTGGGGGGACGGGAAGTCCGTCGGCGTTGCCGGGGGCCCAAGGAAGCGCGAGGGAAAAATTCCGCCGCTGAGGGCGCTCGTGCGGCAATAGCCGGGTGGAGGGGGAGCGTGCCGGACGGGGCGTCGTCGCGCCGTCCGGTGGTCTGCTGCCCCGTGCAGCAACCGTCGGGCGACGACCCGGGGGCCAAAAACCCGGCGACGACGGCGCTCTGGATGGGGCGTGACCTCCTGCCTCCAACCTCCTTCCTTTTTGAGCAGGTGTGACGCCGCGCGAGCGACGCTCCGAGATCGCCCGAGATAGCGCGGCGCGGCCCCGAGATCGCCCGAGATAGCGCGAGATCGCCCGAGATAGCGCGGCGCGGCCCCGAGATCGCCCGAGATCGCGCGAGATCGCCCGAGATCGCGCGGCGCGGCCCAGGGCGGGGTGGATGGGTTGGGAGCGAGGGGGCGGAAGTGTTCAGTGCGGTAGATGGCGAGCTCGAGGCGCGTGAGCCGGACCTGTGAGCCGGACCACCCCCTCTTGTTATCTGCGTTGTTGAGCCAGGACTCAACATACTCGGGCTTGCGAGTCCCAAACTGTCACTCCCCTTTCTCCCGGCCGGGGTGGGGCGCGCGCGGGGGCGGCGGGTGTGCGGCGAGTGTGCGGGATGTCTGTGGGCCCGAGAGCGATATGCCATGTCCGCCTTGCGTTGTTTCATTACATCGAAGGCTAAGCTCAAAATAAAAAAAGGCGAAGCTCACAAGCTCGAGGCAAAAACGCGCGCGAGCGCCGAGCGGCGTCTCACGTGAACCTCGCCATCCAGCATGAGCTCCGCGACGCCGAGCCCGATGGCGGGGCCCATCAGGATGCCCCAGCAGCCGCCTCGCCGGTCGCGACAAAGGCGCCGGGCGTGCCCGTACGCGATAGCGGTCACGCCGTAGCTCGCGCATAGGAGCAGGAGGCTAGGCAGAGGCCGCATCGCGTTCGCTGAGCTGTAACAAGTTTGATCCAAAACAAGAACACAAGTTTGGCTCTACTAATATAGCGCGCGGATAAAGCGCGCGCGCCGCGGTGGCGGCGAAATATAATATTATCTCAGAGGAATATAGTGTGAATGCCCGGGAACAGCCCCTCCTGGCCCGAGTGCGGGGCGCGAGGGACAAATAAATTCAAAGGGCATGAAAGTCGTCGAGCTGCTTGATCAGGCCAGTAAAGATGGCCCGCGAGGCACGTTCGGATCGCTCCTCATCGCAAACCCTGTCAGCAGTTCACCTACGGGTATGTTCGTAAGAGCCACATACATCAAAAAAAATCTCTCTCTCTCTCTCGAGAGAGAGAGAGCCTGGACCCTGGTACGTATCTGACAGATAGAGGTACGAACAGTCAGGTATGTATGAAGTTTTTTTACTTTTTGGGGGGGTGAAGAACAGCCGGGCTCTCTCGGACTGGACACCCACCAGCGCGGTGTGGGTGTACGCTAGACAGCAGGACTGCCGCATTTTTTTTTGACCTTATCTTTCGATTTTTTTGCTTATTGCAGCGCAGGTTGGGCAGCACAAGAGCGGCCGCACCATCTTCGTCAATTCTCGCCCGATGAGCAGCGATCAGCCGTGCAGCAAGCGTCGGATCGACGAGGAGCGTCCACTCTCCGTTCTCTCCAATCCGGACCTCATACGTGTCTTCATGACCTCGCTCGACGCGCCGACGCTCGCAGCTCTTCGTCAAGTCTGCACGGAGGTGCTCGCAGAACCCACGGACGAGCCGGCTCGTCCGTGGATCGTTCCCGCACCGCCGTT